CAGCAAAGCTGCAGACATTGCCCGGGAGCAGTTGTCTCTTGGATACCAGTCAAATATAACCTTGATCCCGGACTGGTATATAAGGTTCCCGCCAAAGCCGACGAGAACGCCAAATGTAAGGAACGCGTATGGAAGCGCGGGCACGAAGGACGTAGCGACCATGCCGCCGCTAAAAACTACGGTGCCCAGGAGGGCAACCACCCTGGGACTGAGTCGCCGGATGAGCAAGGGTGAGAACGGGCTACAAAAAAGTAAAGTCATCGCAAGTGACCCACCCAACCTGAGAGAAAAACAAAGGGTGAAGAATGAACTTTTGACAATTCGTTAGGAGTGCGAGTGTCGATAATGCATATACGTATTGTTTGACATGAGTCCTGGTCAACCTAACGACGACGACGACGACAATTAGAAATGAAACAGATGCAATTCTTCCTCGGGGTCTGTACATACTGTGTATGCTAATAATTTTGATCTACCAGCAAGTCAGTGCTAGTAGTACGCACCACGGATAATTAACAGAAAACAGAAAATGCGCACGCGTAACACGTATCCGTATATCTTTGTCGTTTATTATGACATCATCACTTTAGGCTCTCTTGTTATGCGTACATGTAATGTGGAAAAGCCCCCATTAAGGAAGACATATGGAAACAACTTGGTTACCGGACCCAGTATGCCTACGTATGAGCTTTCTGTTTTAAACACCACATTATTACTAAACTTTATTCCAAGAAACAAATGTTTCTTCCTTGCACGACGCTTGATGTATCGTTTGACCGGACAGCAGTGCCTCTCAGTTAATGTTTTGGGGAATACATTTTTGTGTGTGAAGAAAACAGCGCGTAGGCCTACCCACGATGCAACGTTGCTGGGTGCATGCGAAGCTAAAATTCTGCAACTTCATACGTACCTGTGTACGTATTTAGTCATGCGGATTCGTGTACAAGCACAAAGACTTTGCTTGGTGTACGCCGTGCTATCTCGCGTGGACTTGGGGTAACTATCAAGAACGAGGCAAAATTATCCAATTATGCTTTCTAGGGCCTGATTTCACGGTGTACCTTTAAGCAATCTTTACTAACCATAGCACAGACATTTGTTTCACAGTAAGAGTATTTTACGGCCCAAGCTTCACTGTTGCTCTGGTTAGCACAAACATTGCATAAGCGCGCATGCAGATTTCTGGCGTGACGTCACTCGGCTAAGCAACTTTTCCTTACGAGGTTAACATGCCTTTTACCGTGCTTACGGTCTCATTGAAATACGCGGAGCATCTGTCGTAAAGTCGTCTGCTTAGCAGCGCCGTGGAATTGGGCCATGCAGAGCTCAGGTTCAGGACACACCAGAAATCTCTATGCTCTCCAACTTCAGACTTTGGAACCAATACGGTTGTATACTAATGTCGGCGGTACAGCATGCCGCTTTTGTGTGTTAATTGTTCACGTATACTGACGAATAAGCCACCATTTTTAGACACTCATGGCGCAACTTAAATCTTTCTATAAACAGTTCCATTGCTTACCTGTGAGTGCCGCCCCTGCCTTAAATTCATCCTCAAAACTCAGGAAAAGAACGTTGTAAGCGTAGACAGGTCCACTTGCAATGAACAACTGCACGGACACAATTAGTACCACGAAAATGCCACGGTATCTGTTGAAAAAGGAACGTAGGACGCCACGAGAGTTATTTGCCTCCGCCATGACGACGGGTTATGGCCTCAGTATGCATTCAGGGGCGTGAGTACTAAAGCCCTGGAGTGCCATCAAGTTTATTGTTTGAACAAGCGAAGCATATTTTTTCCAAGTTTGTTTCTGCGGGATACATTTTTCCAAAATTTGTTTCTACGAGATACATTTTTCAAACTTTATTTTTATGAGTTACATTTTTTTCCAAGTTTGTTTAGTACGAGATATAATTTGTTTGAGATCGTTATCTGTGATCTATTTTTCGAAACATTGTTTCTATTTTTGGAAACATTAGTTTTTATGAGATATATGTTTCCAAAGTTTGTTTTTGCGAGATATAGTTTTTCCAGTTTTGTTTTCACGAGATATATGAAACCAACATTTCACTGACAGAAACAAAAAGAAACTAGCCCGTATTGATAGATTAATGACCTGATGGCGTAAGTGAGCCGTTAAGAAAAGTGGGGTTCAATAGGAAGCGTTTTTGCGAATTCTCCACTTTGTGGGTGGGCCGTCGTGGGGCCAAGGATAGCGTGGTAGTCCAGTTGATTTTCCCAAGTCTGGGGCAAGAAAAAATATATCTCGTGAAAACAAACTTGAAAAAATATAATCTCTTAAAAACAATTGTTTCTACAAATAAAAACAATTTTTCTCTAAATAGATCACAGAGAACGATCTCAAAAATATATCTCTTAAAAACAAACTTGGGAAAAATGTATCTGGTAAAAACAAACTTGGAAAAAATATACTTCACTTTTCAAAAATATACTTGATGACTTTTCTCGCCCCAGACTGAGGCAAGTCTACTGAGGATCAGTCAAGAGCAAACCTCTTGTGCAATAACTGTTGAACGAGCGTACTAGCTTGAAGGCCTCAAAAACACCCCTGAGATGATAGTTTTATTCAAAACCTCACATGGTGGTGGGAGCATCAGGGCTCTTTCGAGTTTTGCTCCCAGACCAAAAGATTTCGATCTCGTGAGAAAATCTTTAAAGGTCCAGTGGCCACCATGGTCATGTGAGCAATGAGCAATCTTACTAAGGTCTTTCGCGGGGACCCTTTTGATAGAAAGAGTCGACAGTGGAAGGGGGTGGGATGTCCGTTTGAGGCATTTCATGAAAACTGGGGATTGCCTTCCCCTTCCGTGTTTCCCTTACCTTGAAGTTCTTCGGTGCCTATCCAACCAACTTGACTGCGGGGTGCTTTCCATTTCCCTGAAAATTATACAGAAATTTTGCTCTGTTTATGGTAGTCTTTTGTGTATGACGTGATACAGATAAAACCCCAAAATGCTAGGGGTAAAGGAATACCCAGTTACTTGGGTGGCATGGATCTGGCTGGCATTTGCTCTTTATATCATTAAAACTTGAATGTTGCAGAAGGAACAGTGCTGCCGACAGTTGATACGGTGTAGTTATTTTCTCCCTCTCCAAACTAAACGACTTTCTCTTGTACTGTACATGATGCCCCCTTTCACTCCATTACTCACATAGCAGTTCCTAAGCAATCCATTACTTCGAGTTTATGAATTAGTTTGTCTTGTAACTTTCCCCCCACTTCACGTTCAATGATTTTTCAAAATTTGCATATGATTTAACAATTCACCTTGACGTAATTGTCAGGAGATTAGCTGGTCTGCCATTCTTTTGGAGCAGGAAATAAACCAGAGCTGTTTTACAGCTATCATCCAACAAGACATGCAGGTTTGCTTGGGAAACATTGGAATGTTTCATTACAAAAGATACGATGAACCGTAATTATTGGCTTCTGTACGTCTTCAATCCTCAAGAAAGAAAAATCTGCTTCTCCTGTATCAAAATAAATAAATAAATAAATAAGATTACAAAAAATAAAAATATAAATACAACAAAGTGAAGTAGACTTCGCAGTTGTTTTCAAAACGCTCGATCGTTCTTCTTTCGGTCTGTGGAAAGAAAGGCATATGGCCGCTTTTTGGCCGCCTTATTGTTGTCAAAACGCTAGACAGGGACACTGTTATTTGCTGTACGGTTACGGTAAGCATTCTCGCTTCGTGCATGAATGTTACAAATGACCCCATTAAAAGATATGCAATTGACAAACAATGCACTGTCGAATGCTGATGTGAAAATTATCGGTAGTACATCAAATGGTAAAACTTTCATAATTCAAGGAATTTTCCATTGAAGCAAACTCAAAGCTTTCCTTTTCTCTGTATGAAAATGTTTCTAGTTAAAAGCTTAGCCAAATCATCACTTCATGTGCGATATGTCAGATCTGGACAGAGTGCAAAGTGTCCTTTCTCATGCATGAAATCAATAGAAAAGTTTGTTATAATCCTCATAAAAAAATAACACAAGCATCCATTACGGCGGCAGGCGTTTCAACGTGAAGTCTGAACCGTTTCCATAATTAAAAAATAGTTGTATGATAAAGGCATTAAAAGAATTGATTCATAAGATTGATGATACAAAGGAAAAGTTCCAAACCTGTCACTGGACCCCCGAGGAAATATTCTATTCTAATTGGTACCGCGGTAGTAGCAGAATCATGGTTAGCAGATTTGATCCGTGATCTCCAAATATCTCCATTGCTGAAGGGTAGGGCGATGCATACGACACACTGCGAACTGGTCCAAGGACTAGTTGGGGGGGGGGGTAATAAAGATAGGAGGTAACTTCAAAGTCCCAGTTTTCTTGTTCTGTGTAAAGAGAAAGCAAGTTTTCACATCTCCCATCTATTCTGATCTATACCCATCACATTAGTCAATGATATTGTGAACGCATTACTATCGTTTGGTCTTACGCCATCAACCCACTGCATTACCAACCCTAATTATTCAGTTCCATTATTGCATTTGTATCCTTACTAGCCCATTGCGTCTATGTAAGACACGTATTCGTGGGGCAATATTCATTTTTCAGTTTGTCAACTCTCAACCTCTTTTTTATTTTTTAAATCGGAAACACATCATTCCATCATCTCGAGAATAATTCTTGGAGTTCCTTCATTTTTTGAATTGTCAAAGAAAGTGATCCTATAATCAGGCGTACCCCGACGTGGAATCACACTAAGCCTACCCCTCACGAAACGTGACACAAACAACTTTAAGAAACCAGGAAACCAAACCGAACCACACCACGCATGAGCTTTCAGATGTTCGAAAGCTGAAGCACACTTATTCTGATTTGGCACCAGTCTGCCGTGTATATGTAGTACACAAAAGCACGCCAAATTCTATTCCTCAGCAGCGCTGCCATACTTTGCCGGGTCGACCCCTCCGGATTTTACATCACAATAAGCAGCAATGTGACAAAGTAGACTTCGCCGGGGTCGATATCCCAAACAAAATAAAGGTGATTCTGGGTTCAGTAATAATGAGTGCCAGACCCACGGTACAGGCACTGGTCCTGATGGCCGCCTGCGCGTACACTGAAAGTGTGTATTTCAGCTATGCCATGAAGCCTCGTGCGATTTCATTTGGCTACGGCTGGCTGTAACACTGGGATCTGTGGGAAATGCACGAAAACGGCCTTTCGTATGCAGGCATTATTTCTACCACAGCCAAGCGATTTGGACAAGCCTAATCCATGTGCATGCACGAGTTACTCAACTTTCATCTGTTGACTTCCAAAATGCCGCCCATTCATAATTCTAAACCCTTCACGGTTCAGTGACCATGAGTACGTGGGAGTGCAATATTTCTGGCAACTTATGGCAACAATACAGGACCATAGCTTACGCGTGATTCATAGGTAAATTGAAAGCAAAGACTCGCCCTTCCCGGCCGTTAGGGAAGTTCACGTATAATATATCCTGTGGTGTCCTGGAATAATGATCCGAGTTGGAGGTTGACACAAGGCCGTCGAAAGTTGTGCCAACGCCTTCAGATAATCTGTGTTGTTTCCTGTGTGGCATTAGTGGGCTTTGGAGACAAACTACCACGGCTGTGGGACCTTGGTGTTCATCAGTACACAAAAATGGCTGATGTTCGCATCTGGTATTGGCCGTTCCTCTGCAGGTTGTTGATGGGGTTCGGATTCATCTCTGTATCTTTAGCAGCAGGTAAGGCACATTGGAATACCACAGTGTGTGGAAAAAAATAGCACACGACTGAATTGAAGTTTACACATGACGCCGTACACAGTCCCAAGCAGTTTGTTTATGAGCTCCGATCGTACAAAATGAGACGGACATACGATGGCGACAATTTCAATGAGAGGAAAATGTTAGCATTTTACATTTTGCTTGAACTTTGGTTTCGAGTACATGGTGGCCAGATCCCTCAGGGACCGAGACTGCGATTGGGGCTAAAAGAAAGAATGTTGTATGCCGTAGCCATATCCTTCGTTGCATACCTATAGAGAGTCGACAACATTTTCAAAGTATGGTACAGCAGAACACGAAATGTTTTACACCTCAGATTCATGTCTTTTCAGCATTTTTAATGATGCCAGAATACCACATTCTGTAGAGTTTTGCTCTCTCTTCATTTTCAAAGGAAATGTTTTTAGAACACCAGAGACTGAAGCAAGGAGACTGGCCTTTAATTGCAGCTTGGCTTAGAGTGGTAGAGGTCAATCATTGAAAAGATTATTATGCCTTTTAGTCGTGTACGTGTTGGTACGCAGATGCCAAATTTGACCAGACTGTTCTTCGCACATAATTCACTCCTGCAGTACTGAAGTTGTGGAGTGATTGTTTCATCCGCCGGTACGGTGCACGTTCACTCTTTAAAAATAAGGCGCTTACAGTTCAAACACATTTCTTAACTTTTTACGTATCCACTCCCTTAACATGTTTATCCCGCGACATGTCTATTGTCATGCGTTCAGGAATGTGTTTGAATGCTAAGCGGATTTCAAAAAGCCGAACATGTTGAAAGGCGTTTATCAATTAAACACATTCCTAAACACGCTTAAGTGATCTTAACGTGTGAAAAAAGTTGGTAGGCCTATAAAAAGTATTAAAACTCTAAACGTTGTTTTTACAGTTTTGTTTAGCTTTTTTTTCACTGTGCATTGAGGACTGCATAGTGATGAGGACGAGTTAGTGTTTTAATTGGTCCATCTTCAGTCTTTTTGTGGAAGACAATTTTTTGCAAAATTGTTTTCCCAAAGGGTATGTCAAAATATCCTTGAAACTAGACACGAACATTCAACCCTGAACGCCAGATGTGCATACAGTTTGACATAAAGATGGCGTCATCAGGTATCAAATTAGTAGCGATTTTAATTTAAAAACTGTCAACTTCCATCGGATATATCTCATGAACTGATAAAGTCATGGTGTTTATATTTTGGAATCTGACCCATCTTGATTCGGGCAACAGTTCTGTACGGGACATCAAAATCGTTTGACCATCATAAAATCGGACGAGAACCACTTTTTAAACACCAAAAATGTTTTGTAAAGTTTGAAAGGATGACACCATCATTCCGGAAGCTAATGAAGGACGAATTTCAAGATGATCAGTTTCCTTTTTACTTGACTTCGATTCAATTTAATGGACGTCATACTTCAGAGATGTAACATTGTGCGAATGATGAAACCAACTAGATTTTCCGATGACCTGCATAAAAACTCACAAATCCTGTCCAGTTGATTTGATTACTACTTCAAGAAAACGTCTTTCCCCTTTTTTTGCACGTGCTGGGATACGAGAATAATACGCAGAATGTGGCCAGTTGTCCTTCACTGCTGTTACAAATAAACCGAAATGTTGTTGACCAGAATTAAAGTTCCATACCGGCCATGCACATTTCGACAGACAAGACTCTTAATCTTTGAAACAAGTATTTTTCTTTGACAAGAGAATCTTTTCATTGTTTTGAAGGAGGAAAATCTGTGCTTTTTTCTCTGCAAACTGGAAACTAAGATTCCCACGGATAACTTTTGCATTTTGCACTGTTATAAAGTCCGAAACACTAAAAATAATTTATCAGCCTTTATTATGGAACATTTATCACGGAATCTTAAGCCTTGTAATCAATGTTAACATATGTTGGTGTTTGTTTGTGGATAGTTATCAAGTAGTTCTTGTATCACACTGCGACGCGCCCGATTGTTCTTCTCCTTTGTTTGTTTACTCTTGCTTACGAAGCATACTGTCACCCTCAGAAAGACTTTCTATTCCTCAGGTATCATTAAAAAATCTGTGATGGAAATAAGTCTCAAGTCGGCATTTAGAGACTTCGAAAACTTGCGAAACGAATTTGGCACGTGCGTAATTATGCTGAATAGAGTGGATAAGATAATTAAAGTGACAGTTGTCGCCACACGACCATGTCATTTTGAACATGTAAGACGTTCATAAACCTTCGTGGATCTTGCCAGATGACTATTACTGGGTTCTTTGTTTTTTGCTTGTTTGTTTTTGAGCAGATGGCGACATTAAATTGGTTGGAAGCGAACGAAGCATCGAGGGCAAGCTGATAATCGAACGCGAGGGTGTCTGGAGGACGGTGTGCTTCGATGGATGGACGCATGAAGACGCATCGACTGCTTGCAGGCAACTCGGTGCGTTAAACAGGGTGGACCATGCACGAACAACACACAAATGAGAAAGATCTTGCGTGCCTTCAGCTTGCCTAGAAACGGTTTTGTGTCAACTGCAATGAATTCAGCACCCAATATGTTTGTGTTGATTTCTTGCCCCTTCATAATACCTGAATAATATTGTTCGTAAGATTGGCAGCAAACGATGAAAGCTGTAGAGGAATTGTTACGAGCGGTAACAGCGGCAGAATGATTTCGCCGGTTAACAAATAGAACCAGTGCGTGTATTTGTGAAACTGAAAATAAATCATGGCGCCGTGTTTTTGGATTTGTAAAATTGAATTTATTAGCAGACAGAAAAGTCCAACAGTTACCGAAAAGTCACCTATGTCACCATCAGAGTTGTACAAATCCAAGTCTTTCAGCCAGAGCGAACCCTGGGCCTCTTTTATTCGTCGTCAATTTTGGCTCTCTGTTATTCTTGCCTTTGACGTGAATTTTTTTTTCAATCCAATCCAAGGCTACTCGAAAGGTTCTATGATCACCAGGGCAAACGATGGAAACTTCGCCGCACCGGCGGCCACGCCCGTCTTACAAGCACCGGGCTGCAACACGTCCCACGACCGGCTCGCCAACTGCCCAAATTTCCAGTTTCAGGAGAATTTGAGCTGTTCAACTGAGGTTGACATCAGCTGCTACGGTAAGTTCTTAGTGTTAATATCACTTCCTTAGCTTTATTCACTCTTGGGTATTATTATCCGGTTCGTAAGTGACTTCGTCCCAGAGGCGGACGCGCCACAATTTGCAGGCTTTCACTGGACAATTGCTGAAGTTGCGCGTTAACTTCCGGTTCCTTGTAAACGGCGATCAATTAATGTAACTCTATGGGCAGTGCGCGTGTGCAGTGGGCGTGGTTTAAACTGAAGTGACGTCACACGTGCACACGTACGAACCGGATTGTCTGTCCGTTTAACATACGAGTCTCAAAACAGCACATATAATGCTCCCTTTTATGAGTGTGTGTCCACGATCGTTTAGTTTATTGTGAAATGATAGAGCAAGTTGGAGAAATCGAAATTTTGTGATGATGTGTTTTAATGGAACTTGAACTCAGTCGCCAAGACCAGAAGGCAAAGGGGACTGCAGAGTGTGAGATTTTAACAGGGATGTTTTATCACAAGACAGTTATGATGGCTGCTTCGATTAAAACATGGAAAAGTAAAAAATATCTGAAACGCAAACTCTGCAGTTGTCAAAACATCACTGGCATCACTGCTTTCCATCGCTGTACAATCAATCACATGCACGAATCAATGTAGACAGTGGTTAAAAATCAATCTGAATTACGTCATTTTCTTTGTATGTATTTGTCATCATTCACTTTCATTCCATGTAACCTCTCTTAATTTGTAGTTTGTAGTTCAGACATATTATAACCCCAGCTATGGTCGCTTACCTTTGATGAAAACAGTTTCAAGTGTACGGAGGCTGTCGAAATTCCTTTATTACAATAAATCTATTTTATCCTTTGAGTTTCACTTCTGAACAATGCGATTAAAAATTGCTCATTTAGGGTCATTTCCAGAATTAAAATATATTCAAGTTGTTCTGGATGGAGTGGCTCTGTTTTCCTCAAAGTTAAGATTTGTATTTTAAAGATGAACATCTTTTTCGTTTATCTTTATGTCATGGAAACACCATAGTGGACGACTTCAAGGGATGTTACATGAACACTCCGCCATCTTGGATTGATCTCGAAGTATTAGGCTCAGCAAGTGCACGTAGCATTGAAACTTGTTTGAAGTCCTGCAGGACATTGTCGCCAAACTCCAGGTATGCCCAACAATTCAACGAAAAATGGGGATTTTTACTTTAATTCGGGTAAATTAATCAACAATCAAGGCTCAGGTTGACTGAATATTAAATCATTCATCTGAATTTAAAGATAAATGCGATGAATAATACATTATATGACACCAAATAAGAGAAAACATTTTTTTCAACGAGACAAAGGATTGACCTTTTTTCCGAATGTCAATTGAGTCCACTTGTGCATTTTGTAGGTTCGCAGCACTTGCTGGTCCCCGATGTATTTGCGGTACCGATGAAGGGAATTTAGGTAGCGCCCTCTCGGTGTCAGAGTGTGCAGTGCCATGTACTGGAGATGTCATGGAAGCATGCGGATCTAATGCTGTCGGCGATGAAGGAAACTTCGCTATTTGGCCAGGTGAGGAAGGGACACCCATTCGACAATAATTATCGAAACCCTGGTATGAAATTACAGCCCTTGGAATTTATGAATCCCCAGTTTTTAAACCCTTAACCCGACCACTTTCAGCAAAATCACCGGGTCAAATTGCACAAATTATATATATTTTATAATGTTGCAGACGACGTGACATTCAGGCATTACAGAGGCATATGCCTGTTAGTGTTTTGGCTCGAATAGCTCGAAACTTCGAGTTCACACTCACCGGTTCCTCTTGGAACCACCATTCGTATTGAAGAGACCACCACCATTCGCAGCTTCAAACCTTGCTCGGTTTATTACCTAGCTGATTTTTTAAAAAGAAAAATATGTTGTGAAACTTTTCCAGTTACCGTCGGGGCATCCCAGGGCTCGACGACCGCCGCCTCAGGCTGCCTTTACTCCCCAGGCTTCCCCGCTCGCTACGAAACCAACGGCGCTGCAACCACCCACGAGTTCAGCGTCACCGTGTCAACACCCAGGTACCTCTCGCTTACGACCAAGATGTTCGACATCTACAGCGCCGACCGCGTTCAGATCAGGGGCATGCCGATCGGCTCGGCGACGGCGACGTTTAATCTCACCGCAGCGGAGACCGCTGTGATCCCGTTCACTTTTACGGTGTCGAGATTCTCGTTGCTGTTTGTGACGTCCGCGGAATCGCCCTCGATGAGTAACTACGGGTTTGTTATCTGCTACGAATCGCTCGGTATGTGTCTATAGCCAGTTCCTTTCCCCTTTTAGTCCTGAATCCTCAAAATACTCGGAAGAATACATTACTGTCATTGATAAGTGTTTTAGATAAAGCTCTCCAGCAAACTGCCCATCAGAAGCAATGTCAGCCATACTTATTTACAAGAGCTAACTCGTTTTATTCGAAAAATAAAATATTCTTTCAAAACCTTGTAGATTCATTAACGAAAAGTCTTCAGTATCGTCCTTTATTTTCTTCCATTTTACATAAATTTAGAAGGGATTAACAAGGGTCGCTCAGTTTGAAAGTCGTTAATTCATCACCCTACAGAGACAAAGTCTTCAGCTGGTCTCATTTGACGTAAAAATTACATGTGCAAACTTTTTCGTTGGCTTTTTTTTTAGAGCAACTTCCGACTTCCCCTCCTACCGTTCCCTCAACCAACCCTTCTACCATGTTGTCGACGAATCAAGAGACCAACCCACCAACTGCACCCCCGACCGTGCCACCGACGACTCCCCCGACAGTACCGTCAACGGCTTCCCCAAGTGTTGCCTCTAGAACACCGACCGCAGCCTCGGCTAGTTCTATGGACCCGCAGACTGTGCCAACTACCCCAGGTCCAGACGGCTCCACAAGTTCCGAGCAACCGGTCGTCAGTAGCTCGTTAAGACCACCGGTCACCACAGATGGTCAGGGTGAGTTTCTTGTTTTCGTGTTGGCAAAATCTTCCATTCTGTTGAGGTCGGTATGCAGCAGGCCGGTTGTATAGTGCGTCGATGTTGTCCATAAATGTTCTGTCGGTTGCGTGTAAAGCTCTGGAAAACTTTCACATGTAAATTAGTTCACACCGTCCTGAACCGTCTATGACATCGAATGTTATCTCAGTCTTGCATCGTAGGCGTTCCTTCCATATACTTGGTATTTTCCAGTGGTGGCTGGCATTCTATGAATGAAATTTAAAAAAAAAATGTCTGCATCTTGCAATACGCAGAGTCAACATGCACCAGAGCTAGCACTGCATGAAGATATCTCCCTTTTAAATATTGGAGTAAATGTAGAATCTACGCGAAAAGATGTTGCCACGTACAACGCAAATTGACAAGACAGCTGTGTATGTAGTTTATGTTCTAATTTATCAAACGAAAGAATGCGTCGTTCCTTGACTTATTTTCAAATTGTTACTTGATATCTTTAATTGTTTAATATCTTTTTCGCGCTTCTATATCCTCCAGACACAGGTATCACATGTCCTGCTGACCTGGGTGAGCCTGTTGAAAGCAGACCAGGTCGCGAGACAATGACCGACATTCTTCTCATCAACGCGGGTAACCCGTTCAACTGCACCGGTTTCGTGACCAGTGTGAGATATTATTCCATCGACAATCAGCCTCTGGAGGTCAGCATATGGCGACCCTCTCACGATCCGGACACCGATGAGTGGCCGTACACCTTTGCCTCTGGGACCACTTTGGGCGGAGCGCCCCCGGGTACCGCGAACGAGTCGCTGGACAGGGACGACTGGCTCCCGTTCGGGCCCGGAGACGTGATGGGAGTCCGCTTCCAGATCTCGCCGCTGGTGTTCAGCGACGCGGTCCCAGCAGACGGGGCGGCCACGCCCTGGATGAAGTGGACACTGGAGAACGGCAGTCACCCGGGGTCCATCGGGGAGAAAAGGAACGCAGTCAATGCTACAGCACTGAACAGGACCTACTCAATCTCTGTGACCTTAACAGGTAACCTCCAAAGTGTGGAAAAGTGAACTTCACTGTATTTGTGACATGCTGGCTGAAACTTAGTGAACCCATCAGACATAAGGAGGTTTGTCCACTGAATAAAGGGATCGTTGGCTTTTCCTTTAGTCATGATTTTGGAGTGGTTTCGGTTTAAGTTACCGTGCGTCAAGTATCGGTTCAGCATAATCAACACTCGGTGTATACGTTGCAGTTTTGTCAAAAATGCATTCTCATTTGTTTGTCTGATTTAAAACAATGTGTACAATTTTACAAGTCAGGTAAAAGGCTGAACTGAGGATTGGAAACATGGAACCCGATTTCTTTCACCTTCTTGCAATGGATTTCCATGCATAAAGCTCCTGTAAAACTGTACATCAATATCGAACCCGAAGCATGTTTCGAAAAACAGTTTCAACAAGCCACGAGAATTCTGTACTGTGCTTTTTTTCCTCTGAGAATTCTCTCATGTCTTCACTTTCAGACAAAGCTCGCTGTCTAATCCCAATCGTTCCCGATGTCGCTCCCGCGGATGTCATAGTGCTGTATGTGTACGAGGGAGACACTTACACGTTGGACTGCAGGGCGGGCTACCGGCCGGGTGGATCCGATCCTGTCTACACCTGTCAGGCTAACGGCACCTTCGACAGGGTCTTGGAATGCGAGGGTATCCGTCACCAATGCGCCCGTTCGCGAATAGGCCTCTGTACCGATGGTCTGATGATGAAAGCACACCTTGTGTACACGTGTGCTTTTCTGTTGAGCCAGGGTGGGGCCCGGGCGGGGCTCGAGATTCACTAAGCCCCTCCCTAGGACAGCACACATGTACAAAGTCTGGCATCCTCAGTCCTGCAGAGGCCCATCATTACACTGACAGTTTACCGCTTTTGGGGAACTGGTCTACTTGTTTTACCCGATTGCACTGTTGTAATTATGGTCTGACCGGGAGGGACCGACATTACTGATGTGTAAAGTGAATGAAATGCATTTTAGGCTACGTAGCTATCCTCTCCCAGCACACTAACTCAAGATAAGGGAGACTTTATCGTAACAATTTCCAGAACAAGCACCTGCTAGTGTTTTTATTTTTGATTGGGGGATATGTTGTACAAAACAGCTGCAAACTGCTTACTGACAATACAGTGACCTAAAAATACAAATCACCAAATGTGGAGGGCCTGACGTTTCGATCATAGTAGGATATTTCTCAAAGGCAAAAAGCCTTTCGATCGTAGCAGAAGATCTGCTAAGATCGAAACGTCAGGCCCTGCTTGTTTTGTGATTTTCTGATTTGGACATTGTACATATCTCACTCACTGAAAATTTATTTTAGCCCATTTAAACACCACACGTTGACAACGTACCGTTCCCCTAACCACCGTACAGCTGTAATGAATTTTAGGGTGTCGGAGCATAGGTTAGGTTTGGATTCTGAAACCGGAAGTAGGCAAACACTCCGATTATATACTCCAAGAATGATGTGAGAGATTAGGGAGTGAACTCTTAGCAAAAAAAAGTGGATCTGCTTTGGACATCTCGACCAATGCCATGTTTGGGAATTTCTTGTCATTGAGTGTGTTTTAATGTGCTACATATCAATGGCATCTCTGTATTTTGATCCTTAATAGATGGTGGAATACCACCGGGGCAAATCTTCGCTGTGTTGATCATATGTAAGTAAACCAAGTTTGATTCGCTCTGTGGTTTGTTACGATGTCCGAGGCTTGACTGCTAAAAGAAGACTTTTTCAGCGAATTGGGTGTAACAGTTGTTATTTGTGCCTGTTTTTTGGACACGTGCATAGCCCCGTAGTATTAAACCTGTTTTTCCCAAATAGTTTGCAAATTTAACTTCTCAAATGAAAAGGAATTTGCCACTGGACAAGATCAAAAGGTATTTGAAATAACGCGTTAAGCGTTAGCCCGTTACTTGGCAGGCACATACGTGTATTTGTGTTTCGAATAATTTCCCTTTGGCAGTAACAATTTCCCACTTCAAGTAACAAACCCTTGTGAATCTTTTGCCGCAAGTTGTTATTGACAACTGGAGATGTCCGCACTTTATTCCTTTACAAAAGCACTACCAAAATGTATGCCCTCAATGAAATAAGTTGAAGTTGACGGTTTTAATAACCTCTGACCTTTCAGGTGTGGTGGTCCTGGTGTTGATCTGTCTGACAGTGTTCGTCCTCACTTGTATGCTGACATGTTGCAGGAGGAATTCTGCCGAGAAGGCTGCATCCGCTGGGGCCAGGTTTGTTAATTAAAATCGATATTTTTATCAGGTTTTTATGGGTGAGAAAATTATAGGCTTAATGCAAAACTAACGAGGGATGTTTGAAATGATCCATGTGGAGTCGTCTGTTGAGGGGTTTGTTTCAGGGATACCTTTGACAGGGAAAACTACATGAACAGTTAGCGAAATAATGCGTTCAGCATCAAGTCATTATTTGGCATGCATCCTGATACATATGTAATCTGTCATCCAAAGACGGTTTTCCTACATAGTATTTTGTATCTGTGTGACAGCACCAAGGTGATGGATGAGCCAGATGCTGGCATGGGCGATGGCAACAGCATGGACGACAACCAATTTCTCATCGACATTGACTCGGAAAACGGCGAGCTGGACGGCGTCGTCAACCCGGCGGAGGTGCCGGAGGAAGCTACGTCATCGGAGCCCATCGCGTCATCGGAGCTATCGCTGGGGCCCATCCAGTCAACAGACCCACCGCCGGACGCTCACGGCACTGAGAACGGCATCCCTAACCCGGAGGCCGATGTAGAGGGCACCTCAGTGATGGAAAACCCGGTCCACAATGCCGACGTAAGTTTCTACCGTCCGTCCGTCTACTCAACTCCCTCAGGCGGACTGTCTGACTACCCTCCCCGTTCCACGCCCCCTCCTCCACCGGCGGCCCCACCGCCACCTCCTGTTGGCGGTATTAACGCAGCCCAGGTGACCTCGGGTAACACGGTACCCCCTGCACCCCCTGCACCCCCTGCTCCCCCGCCGCCCCTCTATCTCCAGCCCATCGCTCCGGGAACCAGTGTCGGCAACTCCCCTCCAGACAGCCCTGACACCGGGTCGGATGCTGCCCTCATCGGCGAGGATCGATCTGACACCTTGTCCAATCCCAGCCGTGGATGGCGCTCTACACGAAGCATTGGCCACGGCATTTCCTCGCGGCTCAAGGTCTTTGAAAACTAAAACCCATAATCATGAAAATGGTGCCAGCTATTTTGCAGATGGTAACCGTGTTTAATAAGTGGTTTGAAAAGGAGTAATTTACTCCTTGCCTTTATACCTAAGTTTCAACTACAATAACGACGTTGCTTCTCCATCGCTTACACTGATTCATGGTGTGCTAATATTGATTCATTCAACACTGGACATTGTGGAGAAATGTAGCTTTTTTTGACGGTTCCTTTAAAGTTAAAATTTCCACTGAGATTCGTATAGTAGAGACCATTCTTGCGAAACCGGGCCAAACCTCTCATTTACAGAAATCACGGGATTAAAATAAACTCTGACGTGAATGGAAGACAACGCTCCTTATCATCAGCATTTGAAAAAAAGAGGTCATTTTTGGTCTTGAATAGGTCGCGATGAAATGAACAGAAAATAGTTAAATACTTACCCCGAAATCTGTGTACTTCCGTATTTTCTTTTTCCTCATAATCACACCTATAACTGAATTGTGTCAGGTTGTCCCTATTATAGCCAATTCAAATATAAATATATTTACAAAGAACATTGGGGAATCGAAGGGCATCCTTAACCCTAACCTTCCCCAACCACACAGAATTGAACACCAGTAATAAAGTGTGTGAATTTGTGGCACTGGGTACTGTACCCCTAAACTGCTTGTGCATACCCAAAATAAACAGAATCCAACAGTTTTTGTGCACAGTTTAACGTATGGTGTTGAAATTTGTGTGAATAGGTATGATTCCTAGTAAATCACTCTGGGGAGTTACGGTTAAGGTTTCAACTGCATCATTGGTTACTGAATTGCTGAAACGTCTTGTTCTTTTACACTTGCACAAAAATAAAAAGTCATGGTAACATAAATGTTTAACCATTCATTTTAACACCATGTGAAGCTTGATTTCACAAACAGTGATGGGCATTTTAACACCCAAAGCGATGCTTTAACGTTTTCATTTGAGCGTCAACGTCTGGTGAGTTGATTGACTAATGTTCATTGCAAACCATGAACCACTGAAAAATTCTTTGACAGCCAAGGACAAACCTGTAAGCAGCCTGTCGGTTCAAGCCATTTGCTAAGCATGTTTCTCGTCTGTTTCTCTCACTTGGCGGATGGGAAGATCCAGTCAGTTTTCAGAAGAATGCGCATCAAGCTTGGAGTTTTTTCTTTTCAATTTTGGCAACAAAAGGAACAGCAATGCGATACAGAACAATTAGCGCCAATGAAGAGTACAGTAAATCAAAAAACCTGAAACTTTTCGTTGAGTCGACTTGTAATTCGAAACGTCTGGACCCTTCCTCTCTTGGTCAGGTTGCTTTTCTGTCTGTTTCTAACCCTTTGCCTTGAAACTTTTTTCAACAACAGCAGTACGTATAGATTAAACTAACATACCAACGGTAATTGTAGCAACATTTCCTTGTAGAAAAGTCACTTTGTCCACGTAACTTGATAAGATAAAGGAATTTTTCACCTTCAATTATTTTGCTGAAATCCGAATGTTTTAATAGGACGGTGAAAATGTAGCTACAGGGCTACTAAATATTATCTCGTTAATTACGTTTTGTGTCAGGAAGTTTGATTTTCGTTGTAAAAGATGTATATGATTTGCTTCTGATTAATATAGCTATACAAGCAAAATTCTTGAAATACCTAACAACTCCGATGTACTTTAAAGACCTTATAGGAATGTTTGTTTATCAAAAAGCGTAATTGTAACTGTAAATTGACCGTTACTTTACTTCAAATGTTGGATTAAAGTTGTAGCTTTAATGTTACTAACTCGAAATCCCACGAACACAGATTTAATTATAGGCGTAATATCGATGGGTTGTTATATTATGTATATACTGCAAAGTTCTGTACATTTCTGTTTTGTAAATAGTTTTGGAGATGTTCATTTTTCTAACCCATGTTGTGGCTGGTTTTCCTTTAGGACGTGTTCGAGTAAATGAGAGCCGCGTGTCAAACTGGAGAGGCGTTGCACGGAGTGCATGTGAGACAAGTCTAGAGTCTACTGACTTGTTTTCAAATAATGTATACACTGTACTGTGAGACCCTTCGTGTCGTATTGTAGTGCTGGCGTTCAGTTATTTGCGAAAGGGTGATTGATTCAACCCAGCACGATGTCTTTTATTTTGTGACATTTAACCAATGGGGAATCTCGCTAGACACACTGATTTGTACGCCGAGCATTTAATCTGAAGTTAAAGACTTGGGAAGAAACAAAATCCGGCAAACAAAGAACAAAGGGCTTCTATTATATACATTTAAGTTGGCAAGTAAAGACAGGTGTGGCAAATGCCTGGGTAGAATGCTTAACTAAAGAGAACCTTTTTTCTGTACCAGTATTTTTGAAAAGGCTGGAGTTTTTGATCTACGCCTTTTCTGATATCATGCTTTTGAGTTTGAACCTCAGATCACAAGCAACACATTAGTCCACCAAGACACTATTGGTGTAGTACATTTGGATTATTTGTTAACCAATTAGGCCTATTGCCTTTGAAACTTGTAATAGTAGTTTTAATAGGATACAATTTGGGAGCTTTGTTACAGCCAATACAGTACTTTTCTTATTTTTTGTAGATTTTATGTAATCGAATAAGTTAACTCTCCTTGTTTGTATTTATGTTAAAGGGCTTTTGTATTCTACTGTAATGATTTTGTGAAAGTTTAAAGTGTAAATTTGAGGACTGTACTTTTGTTAATCTCATGAATCTTTCTATTATGTTATGTGCAACATTGATATAGGCTGCAATTGTGTTGCCGCAGGTTATAGAAATGAAAATGGAGCTATGCCAACATTTTGATCTTTGGTTTCATGCAAACACGACAGTTTCGCTGATTGCGGCCAAAATTTGACAGTCAAATCAAAGGTTTAACTAAAACTGTTTTTGAAACAGGAGACGTCACTTTAATGAATATCAGTTGCATGAAATGTAATGGGATTTGTGTACATATTTGTTTTGGATAACTGTTTGGCTGGCTATTCTAAGGAAAATGTCGGCAATTTTAATTAAAGTTTTGTGAATTTTCAGCTTCAGAATTGAAGATACGCGGCACCAAACACGTGAGGCTTTTATCGTGCACGTTTCCTCCCAGATCTTTCGCTGTTTATGTGGAACAATCTACTGAGCAAGTTATGAGGGCGAGGCGAAATTGGCTCTCAACAGTGACAACTTGGTGGTCTGAAAGGCTTTTGAAGTATTGAACCCTTGCCTTTACTTTTGTCCATCGGATGAATAGAGAACACCTTTAAATAAGGTTTCAGTCTGTTGCTACTTTTAAAACATATTTATCGTCATTGTAATATTGGTGGAAGATATTAAAAATTTGTAAATTTAATTGAGAAATAAATCTGTTGTATTTTACACTTCCATGGAAATCAAAAGATAGTTTTTCTGTGGTTTTCGACAGGTGAAGGGTTCCCTATTTTTGAAAGACTGCAAAATGTTGGGGAAATTTTGTAGTAATTTCTGTCAAGTGCAATTGCATTTCCCCTGGAGGGCTGTACTTTTTCGAGCACTACCTTAATAAAGGCAACGATAGGATGCTTAATGTTGTGTGACACGACAGCATTCCTTCCTCTGGAATCCCCCTGATCCCAACAGTGCATTCTGGACTGCATTACCCACACCATAGTTTTGATTTCTTTAAGGTTTTCCACCCCAGAAAGAAAAAAAAAAACTCATTCGAATTTTATAATAACCTGTAAACCCGTATCAGCTTGGATCGTACGGGAATGAGCTTTTCGAAAACCCTTTTAACTATAACTAAACTTCTGTCTCTCATCAGAAGCATTTCTCGGGGAAAAAGTAACGTGCCGTCTTTTTATTGGTTTGTTAAAGGGGTTTCATTTCATCATGGTGACAACGTCTGATGTTATACACGTAGAGAGTTCTTTTCCTCCGATTCACTTTTTTATATGGTTAATAATAGAAGGATAGTAGATGCAGTGACTCGATATTGGAATCTTCATCACGGACCAGTAGGGGCCTATGGTTGTAATGACAAATGGCGAGCTCTTTATTATGTACGTCTTCGGTCTTAATCTTGGTCTTAAGTGTAAAAATTGCTCGTGTTGTTTTCAAGTGGGACTACATGTACTTGGCAGTTCGCCTGTACAAAGCGCACACTGATTGATTACGCTTCCGCGAACCTCTGTTTAGTTCATTTGCATGTGCGTTCAAGTGAAATGTGAACAGAGTGGCGCCTGGAGTACGCTTTTGATGCACGGACGTGGATAATAAAATATGGACTTAATCAGCTCATAGAGATCATTGAATCCACTAGCGGCCATTTTACCGAGCCGAATACAAAGCTTTCCTGGCAATGCCCGCCTTTGTTCTTCCTGACGTCAATAGGAGGGAGCCAACCCACGCTATTGTATTCGGCTCAGTAAAATGGCCGCTGGTTGGCTTCTTTTTCATACAAAGGCGCTGCAAGTTCAGGTTTTTTTTAAATACACGCCCGTGTTTTGATGTTAAAAGCTACTGGCCGATGAATACGGAGCTCTGGAAGTGCCATCCAACTTGTTGAGATGCTGCAATCCAATTTCTTGGAATGACGACATCGTAGAGGTAAAATGTTGACATCCCGAGATAGTTGAACAACTTCTGAATCCCTGATCCATGAAGTCGCACTGGAAATTTTTTCCCATCATTGAAAAACGTGTTCAAGGATGTTAATTATGCTGGTAAATGTACTCTTTGAATTGGTCAAAATAAGATGCCAACGTGGTTCTACAGAGCCATTTTTTGGGTGGGGAGGGTAAACCCTTTGCACGTGACGTCACCTTTTAACTTTCGCCACTGAAATTCGGTGTTTTCCAGCCTTTATATGTATCTTTATTGTTACATGTTTTGATCAGATGTAAGAAGGCAGGGCAACAAAGTATGGACAGTCAGCGAGATCTCTCGCTGTTGCTAACACGGATGTGGATCACGATCAGTGATCCCTCGTTGATTTACAGACACCAAAACTCCGCTAATGGTGCGAACCAGCGTTAGGATCACGGATCGAAATCCAGATCCGTTTGCAACAAACGGGCCAATAGTCGCGCCACCTTTACATCGATTTTGCGATCGATAATTAGTGTACCAGTACCTTGCGCAGAATAACCCTTCTTTTTGGAATGGCGTTGCACCTGCGTCGTGCCCTACCTCAGGACGCAACTTTTGTCGAAATAGGCTCAATTTACTGGATGATGGTGCCAGTCTGCGGTCTTTGGGCCATGAACTGTGTGTGTTTATTGTATTTCTATCCACGCATGGTTGAACAGGTGACAAAGGAGAGCAAGTCCGCCGCGCCCGTTTTGTACCCACCGTGTTCCCGCATATACCCCCATGCACAAGCTTCCGTTACGTGATTCATGCAGGGTATAAACATGGTTGAACGCGATCGGAGTCATTGCTACCCGCTTCCACCCACTTAGAGCTCTAACTGAAATGTTGGCGTGATATTTTTTGCTACTTGTAAAGCTCGGTTCTGGATATCTGGGGATTCCCAGGGTGTTGATGATATCTTTCGGAAGAAGGGGACATTAACGGGGTGACCACTATGACAAGTCATCACACCGCGACACGTTTGACGACACTGACACTTCTCCTCAGTTTGATATCTACACAGACTGTTTTGTCGTGGCCAGCTGGTACGTAAAGTTTTCTGTTTATTCCGCTCCCTTTTCAACAAAGATAAATATTTATTGAAAACAGCCAAAACTTGCTTGTGAAGACAATTACAATATCTTAAATAAATAAGTAAACAAATAATAATAATAAAAAAAATAATGGCAAGGCAATCTCTCCGGTTTATGACATTCCCTCGGCAGAGTCAACTAACCTTAGTCCGTCAGCAGTATACGTCAGGGAAAACACAATAAAGGAAAAAGTGTCTTCGGAATTTTGTGTGACAACCATGATTTCTCTCTGACCGCTGGGACATCAAATTAAATTCCCCATACCAACATAAGGGCTTTTGAAATTTAATCATGAATCTATGCGTAACAGCAAACCTGAATACGAGGAGTCAGCATAAACCTATGTACCTAGTTTTGGACGCATGTACATGAGAATCAGCTCTTGCTGAAATTGTCCTTTTCCTTCAATATTTTGCCCCAAGTTTTTGTTGCCTTTGTGACCGATATTTTACGGGAAAAGGGCATCTGCACCATCACAAGTGAAGGTCCATGCAGTACCAAACTTATTGTTTGGTAGAGAGTCGATTAAATTAGCAGGGAAACACTTCGGTTGAATTTTCAAGCATTTGGCTGTTTTCCAACATTTTAGATGAAAAATGCATTGAGTTTATCAGTGGCGTAGCTACGGTGGTCACGGCCCCCCAGCGGAAGTCCGTGCCCCCGGATGCCCCCCTTTAAATCTATGAAAAATCTCCATTGAGTTTATATAACCATGCAGCTGCAGGTTATTTGCTTGTGGTGTTCCCTTGAAGAAATGCGTGCACCGCAGGTGCCCCCCGGAAATTCAGCCCTTGTTTCGCCACTGGATTTTATCAACCATAACCATTCAGCATTACTGTATCTCTGCATTACAGCATTAAGGGATCACTTATAGGAAGTTGAGCTTTGAGATGAACAGGTAGCTACAAAAATGAGCAATCGAGTGCCCAGACATGCACGTCAAGTAAAGCTTAAATGAGAGGAGAAGTGTGTACATAAACATGGATAATTGCTTCTCTCATCAACTGACTGACATTTGCTTTTGCCGCGCTTCATGATGCATGAGACCCGTATTTCTACAACTTTACAAATTGAATTCACCCAAGAGCCCCGTATAAATCACAAATCACTGTATTCCTGTACATTTGTAACCAACACTGCAAAACAGACAGAATTGAAGTGAACACGCATACTGTCTTGTTCCGTCGTGGCAGTTGTAAGGACAAATACCTGTCATTCTTCTATAAGGTGAGGGCTGAAAACGTTGTAGGACAGCAGAATGTCTCCGTAACTCGGTCCTAATGTGGCAAACAAAAGCCATTTGGCTAGTTTATCCCCATAAATCGGGGAAGGCCTACAAAGTAATACTCTGTACTTCACATACGTATATATAACGGCATTTAGAGTTTAAACACATTTTTGTACTCACTTTTTTGACACATTTAACAGCGATATCATGTTATGCGTTTAAGAATGCGTTGAAATGCTAAGTGGATTTCAAAAAGCTAAACATGTACCACGGAAAAGTGTTCAGTGTTTAAACACATTCCTAAACACATTTTAATAAACATGTCAAGGGTTGAACGTGTGGTACAAAAAGTGTTTATACTCTACACGATGTTTTTACATCTGAGCAGCGTGAAAACGAATTGGTACCGTATAATTATCTCAACTTTCTTTTCAGTGGTCTCGTATGATAAATGCAAGATCGCTTTACAAATTTTCTCGTCAACCACAAAGGTCATTGCTGACTTATATTAACGTAACAAAGGAAGGTATTTCTGTTATGACGCTCAGTACTGCATCAATGCGGCCATACATGACAACACGTTTTAGCGACAGTCACGCAAACCGGTATTTTGTTGGGGCCTACCATTTCAGGACATGATTTTGCGTAGCTTAACGCGGTGTACTTCAGTTGACATCGAGACCACCACAAATTCCGCAGAAATAAAAAAAAAGGTGCTGTCGGAATGTCATGCTTTGCGATTACAAATAAAACTCCTTTAAAATACGAAAAAGGGATACAGACTGTACGTGTGTATTGAGAGTGATTACATGATGTTCTTGTAATATTCGTCTTTTGCCACTGGTCATATCCATTATCAAACGAGAGGAAGGATGTTCTCTTCTGTCATTACAGAAGATAACCACCCACAAATTATCGTGTTGTCATTTTATTCTCGTCCTGGCAGAGGGTGATGTGAGGCTTCAAGGAGTGGACAACACCGCCCTCCAGGGGCGAGTAGAAGTCTACCACGACGGTCAGTGGTTGTCGGTCTGTGATGGCTCCTGGGATACTAGGAAAGGCGATGTCGTCTGCAGACAGCTTGGTTTGTATATCCTCCCCCCTCCAAAAACGTTAATTGACCTGAAGTGGTTCTTAGTGTGAGGGGATGTGCGAACACAATTAGGAAACGGCATTCACTATGAAACCGGCGCATGCGCTCATTAGTTCAGAATTTTCTTGTGCGAAATTTGCAGTCCTGCAGTGAAACAGAGGAAGCCAGGCAGGGCTTTTGTCAATAGTTATTCATGACTCGTTCGGACCTGTCCACAGAGTAAAGTCAGTCCACCCGCAGATTGTAATGTTATTGCTGTGTTACATGTGGCTTTCTGTTTTGATGAAATGGTTGGAGTCAAATGATGAATTTCACCTCCATTTCATGCACCGTCGTTCTACCACCAGTTAGAATCACAATTATTTCCGCCACGACATTGTCGGCCTACAGGTTGGTATAGTAGTGTCACCGAGTCCATCATTGACTGTGCTCGGAAATGCTTGACACCTGGTCCAGTAGAGTGACCATTTGATTGGTGAGCGTCATTTACTTTGCAGGATTTTCCGGAGGCGCCATGTCCACAGACAGAAGCGCCCTCTTTGGTGAAGGGACTTCGGTTTCCTGGCTCACTGACGTCACATGCACCGGCAACGAGAATGGCCTATCAGAATGCACCGGACACACTTATGGAACAGGCGCCTGCTCCCACGCCAACGACGCCGGAGTTCGATGCACTTGTGAGTCCACTCCCCGATCGAATCCCCGGGTTAATTGGTGTGGTATTTGGGTTTTTCTTTTGATTTGGAAGATTAACTAGGCCTACATAGACTTACTTAAGATGGCTACCTTTTTAAGTTGTAATCCACTGCCCACTTTAATGGAACACGAACGACCCGAAAGTATGTAAAAAAAATGACTTGAGTGATGTGTTTAAATTGACTCCATCGCTTAGAACAACAGGGTTTTTTATCAGTGAAAAAAGAAATTTATAAGTACACCGTCCTTTAGATACTCTTTTATTATGTTCTGTAGATTAAAGTGACTCGCTGGCGTTTTAGGTCTGACATCATGCGCCGCCGTAGCACAAGGCTTATAAATGTAGATCTGAATTTTGGATCGATAAAATTCTGTGAACATCGTTCGTGTTAATGGTTCTGAAACGTATACCTTTGCAACGATTCACAGCATTTTTCCCCGTGCATTCATTTCTCCCGATTCCTAATGAACTCAGATCCCATGTACCAGGGATGCTACTCGTCGGCTTCCCCCGGCCCCCTGACGGCGTTGTCCGTTTCAAGCAGCACTGTGACAATCGCCATATGTTTGGACATATGTCGCGGGGAGAGCGGCAGCCCGTCTTTCGCTGGTATTGAGCAAGGAGAGCGATGCACTTGTGGTAATACAATATCTACTGCCAAAGTGGGGAACATTGGATGTAACACACCCTGCAGGGGAAACGCAGATGAGATATGTGGTGGGAGCGCTTCTGTATCCATTTACAAAAGTGAGTTTTAAAACAACTTACAAAAACTTTGTTGCATGCTAGTTTGTACAGATTTCCACTTGACTGTAGTTCTTCTCAAGTCGCGAAAACACAGCATATCTTTTCTGATCTAGGCATATTTCACGTTTTTAAATGTTTTGGGTAATCTAGCTGCTACCGAAGACAGTGACAGGGATAACGGTGGATATGTGACGTCTGCTAATTTCCCAAGTCCTTACTCCAGTGGCGATTCCAGCGAGCGAACGATCATGATCCCCGCCCGTTTCAACTACGCCGTGGTGACATTCTCGTACTTCAAACTCGCCACCGGCGACAGCGTGACGCTCAGGGCGAGTGACGCAACGGCTGGAAGCTACCCCAGTGGCAGCGGCGTTCCCGAACCAGACTTCTGGATTTCAAAGTCTGCTGCCACCAGTTTCGATGTGTCCTTTTCAGTTGCCGGCAGTTCGACAGGAGATACAGGTTTCGCCTTGCAGTACAAATGTGAGTCGGCTGCACATGGAACACTGTTTTATGGTACTAATATGAACTTAAGCAGATCACTGTAGAAATTGTTCTGATTTGTTAACAAAAACAGACGCCGAACATGTTTATCCACTAGTTGCCTCATTTTCCTGCCGCACTGTGCTGTAGATGATCACTCATGTGACATGTTTCAGGGTAATTGTGTGGTGTTCATTTTTCAGTCGGGTTGCTGTGCTATCCAAGCACCCTGCCTGGCACTGTAGCTCAGGGCTCGTTCGTTGCAAGTCAAGCCAGGTATTATTTCGACGAGAAGGTCATGGTAACGTGTGACCCTGGGTACCGGCGGGACCGTGATGGCTTTGTCTGTCAGCTTGACGGAATGTGGTCACCCGCACCGACCTGCTCACGTGAGTTACACTGAATAATTTCTCCCGTACATTCTACATTAGCTCCGGTATACACATTTAATAACTTTGGAAATGCGCTGGTGATGTCATGAAGTTCCTTTCAAGATTTGGTACAAGCAGCTAGTCGCTGAGCAATGTGTAAGTCTGCACGGTGTTTACAGTCACGAACACATGCCCATAAGCTGAACCACAACAGAACCTGTGTTAAAATCGTCACACCTTACATACACATTAATTACATTCACGGTTCACTGCAATGATTGAGGCTACAACTGTCAGCCATTGTGTTAAATGTTGAAAATGTTCATACCTTTTCCCCACTGCTTTATGGTTTTGAAGATCAAAAGAGCCGTCTAGACTTCTTTGCATGACATCAAAGAGAGCTGCAATGACCACGTGACGCGATTCCTCGAGCAGCTCTCCTCCAAAACAAAATCGAAAACTGGAATGCATAAATATTTACCAGCTTCATTTCTTTTACCTTCTTTTGAAATATACATAGTAATTCCAACGACCAAGCAACCGACACCCCAGACAATGGTCAGAGAGTCAACGACCGGTGTTGATAGAATGACACCCTCTGGCGCTACTTCACAAGGTCCAGTCGTCCCGCCAGTAATACCAACTCCGTCAGGTAAGGCATCACTTCGGTTAATCAAGTTCAACTAAAATACGGCGTTCATTATCATGACAGATAATTAGGAAGAAATAATATAAATATGTGATATTACGCCGGCCAGGCTGAAGTTATCCAGAAAGCTTACAGTTACAGGTTATTACCGATATATTAGAGAAGTACAAGAATATAAAACAAGAATGTATTGCAATTCTACTACAGAAACGGAAGAAAATTACTATGGATGACTACATGTTGTTTTATATCCCGTTACCTTGGAACAGTTCTTCAAAGCTCCCTTTAGTCTGGAGTCTCATTTAAATTAATTAAACATTGGTGTGATTATGTCAGACTCAGTTGTGTTAGCCAGTCCAGAATGAGAACCTGTAAGGGTGCCATTTTCAGGCTGAAAAGAAATTTTGAAATATGCAGCAAAACCTACTCAATTCCACAACTATTCACCGACACCGTTTGGAAATATTTTGTGTAAGAGATTCGAATGAACCGCGAGTTCTGAGGAGAACCAAGGGTAGATTCAAAACCATTTTTTTCTGGGGGGCAGGTTTTCATTTTGAGGGGAGGCTAAATAATTTGGAAATATTTTATGTAATCCTTAATGACCTTTCTGAGGGTTGATGCTACATTCAGGAGCAGTTTACACGAGGGAAAGGAAATACACCAAAAAGCGCCGGGGGGGGGGGCAGGGCTATATATGACCAATATTACCCCCGGATCCTCTAGTGAGAACTCCACCCCTTTTTCCACTGCCATTTACAGTAACACCGTCTCTAGAGGGCCCCTCTTGCCTGGTCCCATCGGTCGCTAACGGAAGGGTGGAATCCCTTGGTCGGGACAGGGTGCCCGAGGGCGACATGATCATCCTGACATGCAACGACTCCTACGTGCCCGACAACGACGACACCAACGCAACTTGTCTGGCTACCGGGGAGTTCAACGCTGCATTCGCCTGCACGCCCACGGGCGGCCTGCCAAACTGGCTGATCGCTAGTGAGATATTACGGTTTCTTTTCTGAATAGTTCATTAACACTTTGACTGTTTCCATTGGTGTACCCAGCGAGGCAGGGAGCAAGTTGCCATCAAAAATTATCTTGTAAGAATCAAAAGCATCGGCATTTCCAACTTTCTTAACGAGGGGGAAACAAAATTTCATTTTGCCTCCACAGGATGCGTCGCGTGCAAGAGTTGGTATGTTGGTAACGGAAAGAAAAAGCGACTATATTGTCTTTTTCCTCCTTCCAGTTTTACTCAGCGTCGCTTGTGAGTTATTTCAGTATAAGTCGACTTAAATTTTCACCACTGCTATCGGGAACAAGTTTTGTTTTAAACATCAACGGCAAAATAGTAATACATGTAGAAGATTAAAACCGAATGTAACCAGGTGTGTTTTCCACACCTAATATTGACATGTATTAATCAACGCTGACATATAGGCGTAACGGCCTTTGAGATGGCGACAATATTATTGTCTTGGCAATTTTGTTCGCCTGTTCTGTTCGTTATTGTGTATTATGTTTCAGTCATTGTTGTCGCTGCTGTTCTGGCTGTCACCGTTGCTGTCCTCATTATCTTGCTGATGCTTGTCAGCATCGAGCCCAAAAGGAACGATAGGTGAGTACACAATTATCTCTCGGTGTATCAAACCCAAGTTTCTGAAATCGTGACACACCAACTGATGCCACGTTCACAGGGCGGGCAAACCTGGGTATTACCTTTGTATTCGGCATGGTAAGATGGCCGCTGGTGGCTTCAAAGTCCTCTGTGTGCTGCTCAATAAAAAATAAGGGTCCAAAGTTTTTAACATGAAGTCTAAGGACCACGGTATACTAGTAATTATTGCGAAGTAGTTGGGTTCTCCTGCATATCAGGGTGTTCATTAAATGAATTCGGGAACACAATCCAAAAAGGCCACCTCGTGAATGAAACCTTTAATGGGCCTTCTTGCAAGGAGAAACTTGAGTTAACTGGGGGTCCATTTGGTTCAGAGCTTGCCACGAGATGGCTCGTTCCTGTCAGGGTGGAGTTTTCTCTGAGCTTATGCTCAAAGTAGAAGTTAGTTATCCCCTGTTATCACATCTAACAATTTAAACCAACAGTGTCACGAAAATCCTTTTCAACGATTGCATTTTTACAAGCTTTATTTCTGATTACACCACTTCAAAAGTCACAAGAGTGTTCCATGGTATACATTTTTTTGTGAGGCGTCGTCAAGTTATAATGAAGGTTGATTTCTAGCGACATAGTGCATATTTTTTTTATTACAAAGACGGAGTCGTCCTCGTAACGAGAATGAATTTACCCCACGTGATAGTCCAGTGGAAGATCGCCTCGTTGCCATAGCGCCGTCCGTCCAACAAAACCCTTCGGTCGCAAGCAGCGTCATTTCGGGGTCGGAAGGAGGCGGTCAGGTCAACCAAGGGGCTCAGACCGATGCCGACCCAGCCCTGGGCGATCTTGGAGATCCCATGCTAGGGGACAGCGACGTGTACCATCCGACCAGGGACTACCCAGGAGCCGGTGCCCGGCGCGACCCATCACCAAGCATAGCCCCTGTGCGGTCGGCCCCGATGTCGCCGCCGGCCGCCGCCCAGCTACCCCGTCAAAGGCCCATCGAGTACCGCCCGATTTCAACCGACTTCAGCATGTTGGCCACCGATGAGCTGATGGCCGTCCGGGCTCTGGATAACGTGGTGTCCGACTTTGAGAGGGATCAGGCCGCGTACTTCCTGGGTCCCTCTGGACCGTCTACCTACGCCTTAGACCGGGGCAGCCGCTACGGTTCCCGACAAGTGCAGTTCTCACAGAGGTCGCGTCTTAGCAACTTCTACGGCCTGTATTAGAACGGTTTTTAGGTTCATTCCAGCAGTACTGAAACCAAAAAGAGTGTGACAATGCAGTCTTATTCTTCAGTCTAGTCTGTTAATTACATATTTTCAGTGGCACATGGAAACTCACCACAGTTCTTTTTCTAACGGATGCTACTCACTAAGGCCGTGTCTGAAACGGGCTTCCAGAGCTACGGCTACGTCTATTGTCTGCGTGTCTCCACGTACTTTCAATGGAGTGAAGGCCTAGACCTAGCTCTAAACAACAGATTCGGATGCAGCCTAAAGCTCCAAACTTTACTCTCTCTAGAATACTCCAAGTTGACAGTACATTAAAGCATTGCGCCCTCTGTCGGTATTGCTGTCGAAATAATTAAAGATGGCTCACTTCGTACTGTAAGGAATGGCAAAATTCATTTAAAATCCTATTTGTTCTTCAAAGACGATAAAAGGAAACACTTATTGTCGCAAACTATTCAAGGCTTCTCGTGTTTGAAGGATTTCTACACACTGTAATTTGTAAAATTGCTGCTTGAACTTCAAACAGAGTGAACTTTGAATTTATGAAATGTTACCTGCTCTACGCATGAACTTTTTTAATAATCGGAAACACTTGACCAGTTTTTTAGCTGTAGTTAGGATAGATTACTTGTGTATAAAGTAGGAAGTGTTTGTACTGAAATATACGTTGAATTTTTTTACATTTAAAAAGAACTATACCACTCAGAATTATCATTTACTGAGATTATCAGGTTGGAAATTATATTTTGACGTTGTTTAGTACTTCCATTGTGTATTTTTGTAATGACTGTGCTGCCACGTTATAGAGAAATTATGATACAAAGAATTACATGCGATGTAGAAATAACCCAACCCTTTCTCCCAAATTAGAGTCGGAAATTATGAAAAATATTAAATCTGGTGCATCTTTATAGTCCACAATCTTTGAGGGATAATAATAAGAAGAATGTAACGAAAAGGTATTAAACTCTTATTTCATAACAATCATGCATACCTTCCAAACAGTTTTCCTTCGTGAAAGTTACAGTAAAAACACATGTAGATATCCAAGAGGTTGATTAAAGGTTCAGGCCAACAATAACGTTGTTTAAAGGCATATTACACAGGTCCATTCCGTTTTTACCATAAATTAAAGAAGTCATCAAGTACAAATAAACAGTTGGTGAAAGGAAATTTTATGGAGTAAGTTGCTTGTACGTTTTAACACTTGTTACAAGTCAGTCCTCGTCTTTTCTTTGTATTTGCATTTACTGGTAAATGGGACCACTTTCTTCAGTGTGTCCACGGTGAACCACAGTGCATTATTTATGCCTTTTCTACGAGAACAATATTTTGGATCGTACTGAAGGACTCAAATGTTAATTTGGACTCGGTATGGGACTCAAATGTTCTGACTTGGACTGGCACTCAAACGTTTCGACTCAGACTCCGTCTGGGACTCGAATGTTTTGACTTAGACTCGGACACGGAAGTGTTGGACTCGACTTCAACGCTTACGTTCGCAGGCCAGTAAAGAGGCCCCAATTTGACTTCGCGGACCAAATCACAATGCATGCTCTCAAACGCTCTGCTAGTTGAGAACTCTGTGGCCCGTGGGGAGGGTATGTAAAACAGAGGGGAGGAATCCATCAACGAGACTGCTAGCTTGTAGATTTTAAAAATTTGGATAAAACAGGGCCTTCCGAATAGTTCTATTTTGCAATGGAGTATTGGCACAAATTTACAAAATGGCGATAGGCTTCATGGCTATTTTTAGGGACGGTCATTAATACCACCCAGCAATAACTGAAGAGAAAAAGGAAAAATAAAAAAACACGCTTTAATTTGAGATGTGTCTGGAACACCTGAGAAACTTGTATTTCCCCATGAGGTTTTGATGTGGGGTATTTATCGACTGTCTGTAGCGGAGAATTTCCTGCAACCTTACCTTCTATGAACAGCGCCACCTCAAGCCAGTTATTATCCAGCTTTTAAAATTTCCCACGCTAGTCTCCACCCGACGTGGTGAGAATTTATACTACCCCCCACTGACACCATGAGCCCATTTCTTTGTAACCAAACATAGTTTTCAATAATTTCCTTTTTAAAAAATCCTTTTCAACAATTCAGCTATGATCCTACTTGTATATGTCTTTCATCCCAAGAGACAGGGAAGTGTAATCATTATCGTCGCAAATAGACTTCCAGCGATCGTTTTTTTCTTGAGAGTTTCCCGCTAAAGTGACGAAAGAAAACAGCGGAGGGAATGATATTGCGGGAGAAAAGCCGATTTACATTAAAGCCAATTTTACGGCGTCGTGAGTACGATGACAAGTGATGACACGTGCTTCTCCTGGATGGTGAATACCGTGCGTGGTGTGTCCTCTCGTTCTCCCCCGTCTCGAATGCACCTGCTACCCAGCAGATTGAGGGAGAAATCCTGCTGGAATTCCGAGTCAACGGTGGGGAAACAATAACAGCGTTATGATCATCGTGATTGTATTGAGGCTCGGTGACCACGATTGTCAAGTGCAATACTTGTTGGATATGGCGTGGCGCCTGGCGTTGTATTGGAATTCCTGGTTGCTAAACGCTCATGTTGATCTTGGACTCTGGGTTTCGCTTTCACAATTTCAGTTTGGTCATTAAATGAAGCGCCGTGGGTGTACTGAATACCAAAATAATGGCTGATTGGCTCGTATGTCTTGGAACGGGCATGGCATTAACAATGAATTGAAAGTGCACATTTTAGGAGTAAATTCATATCGTTGTCACGTTTTATAACAGACAGATTTAACGATTTTATTACACGTCTCTAGACGGATCAATAATTTTTAATGAACGTTTGCTGTCACACGAATTACGTTCCTTAATTTAAACCAGCCTGCAAAATGTTTAACACACGTCTTTAACTAGGAATGCGAATTGTGACATTTTTTTTAATACCGAAAGAGGCAGTATGGATGTGTCATTTGGAGATCCATTTAATCCCGAAAATATAATTTTTGCACAATTATTTCCCTATTCCTTGGAGGCACTTGCAGTTCAGTTTGTACTGTGCATTTGAGTTCATATAATTGCTGTGCATGCACCCAGTTGCCGTAGTGGAAAGCAACATCGATTATTGTGGTGGCTGTTTCTTTTGAGGCACAGCCACTTGCAGGTGTGTCGTGAGAACGCGTAGTTGTATCCTTGAAAAGGCATCAAGGTGTACACTGCGACATAGGCGCATGCGCGAGCCGACACTCCCCAAACAATACCTCCCATGGCAGTTCAATGTACATTATTATGAACATGGAAGTCTGTCTCACAGACTTGATGCCTGCGTGTATGGTTAAAAGGTGACCTCTCCGGTGTGTTTTATTATGTACACGGCCGGCTACATGCATAATGCGTTGTTGCTGCAAGCTTGGCCGTCGGGGGTGAAGGTGCATTTCGTCAAGTGAGTGTGTCAGCCGTCGTAGGCTTAGGGGTGCGCGCTGAGTGGCGGTCGAGACAGATAGCAAGGCGAGGCTGCATAATTGCTTCTCCGGAGCCGTGCGCGTGTGACGTATCGCCCGTTCCGGAGCGCGCTGTGGAAATAAGCCGTACCTGGGATGTGGTCGTAGGCTCCTGTGAATACGCCCGTGTACAAGTACACACCCGTACTGTGAGCTCCGAGAGCTGGACAGCACTGGAGGGAAGGAGTACTGCGGCGAATATACGGTAGCCAGCCCGTGATTAAACCTGGATAACGTGCCCCGGATAATCTACTCCACCGTGTTGGAACCAGCTGTCTGGATTCGTTAATCTCCTCGAGCCAGAGTCGGGAATTTTTTTTCTCTCTTCGATCGACATCGCCATTATTCTTACCATCATCGACTAATTTAGGATGGCCGGAGAGTACTGTTGCTACCGACTTGTGGATGTAGCCTTGGTTTCTTTGCTGTTTTTTAGCTGCACTTTTACACAGGGAACAGGTGAGTTTAGATTTAAAAAAATAGACATATAATTTGAAAGAAAATGTTTTACAGTTCTGAGTGGCCTTGCGGAAACGAATTAGTTGAACGAAATTAAAAGTGAAGTGCGTAGAAAACCCATTTCCTTTTTTACACAGATGCTGACATACAGACTGACATGTTGGAAATATTACGTAGCACCCAAAACATTGATTGGAGCGGAGTTTTAAAGGATTGTCACGAGAAGCTGAATCAGGAGGGCTCTTTAAAGCTATCCTTGTTTTAAATTTCATGCACAACTGGGAATCTAGCCGTTTTGCAAAACATTAAATCAAGAAATTATTTTGAAAAGAAAAAAAGTAGACCTAAATTCCTCCAATTAAATTTTGTTTAAATTCCAGACACTTCTGCATGTGCTATTTCCAAACCCTTGGTGTGCAGAGATTAAATATCCTCTGCGTATTGTTTTAACGAGCCATGTTGAACGGGCTTCGGAAGAGCCTCGACCACACGGCAACACCACCTGAAGAATATGCAAACATTTCCTGAGCGCGACATTAGCATAACTCGCGCGGACTCTCGGCGTTCACGCCCAGACCGTCAGGTCTTCTCGTATAGCCTATACCTCTTTTTTCATCCAGTGCTTTATGTCCGCCTTGGCCGTTTTAGATTCTCTGTGCCATCTCGTTTATTCGGCTCGCGACTGCCTCGCTCTCGGCACATCCTGAGCTAAAGGATTCTTTTTTTTCACAAGCCTGCATAATGATATGCAACTCTTTTCGGACAGAAATGATTGAAAGTTCTCACGGGTAGGAAAGGACAGGGGGACATTCATCAATTTCCCTTTCCCATGGCTGTGTGAGTTAAGGTTTGTTGCCTTGGCGTTGGAGAAATTTTCATTTACTTCCAGTAATCCCCAGGGTCGTGAAAGAGGGTGAGATTCGTTCGAGCGGCTTACAGGAAAAGTGGGGGAACAGTGTAACCACTGCATCGTAATGTGTACTGTTTTCACGGTGTTTTTTTCACGCGTAGCCCAAACCATGGCAACGTTGTAGTACTTTCAGCATCTCACAGAAATCTGATGGATTCCTTCAATCAGAATGACATTGTGTAACTTTGATGTTTTAGTAGTCGATGCAAAATTGAACTTGTGCAGTTTGGGCGATTTCACCCCGTAACAGCATCTTCGGCCGTGCCAGCTCATTTGAGACTAACACTATGCATAATGGCTGGGGGGGGCAGCGATCATCGTCGATCGATTGGCGGAAACCAGACTGCGATGTGTACTTATAAGCGCCAGTAAAGAGGAAAAACCCAGCCCGCTCGTAAGTCATTGTGTTTTTGGCTGTCCCGTCGATATATTTGTACCTACCCGTGGCTACTGCGGCAACCGTGCTACGGTATACCTGCTCGGTGGCAGGTGCCTTTGAATTGGCACAATTGGAAAATTCTTAAAGGGGGGGGGATACGTGTGATTTTCCAACAGAAATTTGGGTGTATATTCGTCGATGGGTGTGTGTAAACTGAACCCTGGCCTGAAATATTCAAATGTCGGGGAAGTAGAAAAGGGGCTTTAGCCCATGAATTGTGATGTAAATTGGGGTCGTGGGGTTGTGTAATCAATCTGGGGCTATTATGATTGAGACTTTAAAGCAAGTTTCGTTGCTGGCGGTGGCACCCCGGTGAGAAAACTGAATGCGAGGGAGGAAAACCCTGTATTGGCAGTTTTCTCTCGACGAGGGAATTAAATTAACCGATTTTTAAACACTGTGGTTGAATAACACTTCGACTCGACTGGCCTGCCGATCGGAAGCCGAAATATCTATAAGTTGTCACTGCCTTTTGGAAGGGTCTTCATGATTATAAATTATTGTCGCCAACCAAGAAAAAAAATTAAAAAGTTATTGTATGACAGTCAAACAATCCATTTCATGTAAATCGCCAACCAGAACTAAATATAAATCGAACGTTTTGCCTCTTGATCGTTATGGAATGCCGATAGCTCGATAGCTGTTTCGAAATGATACAACTGTGATTTATCGAAAGTGACTCTTTCAACCGATTTTATCAAATATTAATCGATATGAGGGTGTATAGACGGACCCTTTTTCTCTAGCAGTGATCCAAGCAGTGATCAATACATAATCAAGCGTAGACCAAGGTAGCCCAGGAAGTTAAGCCATTTGCTCAGCATTGGGTATTCCTGGTGTAATTATCTGTCATGATCAGTTTTGCCATCTGAAAAGCATGGCATGCTGCCGGTTTTGATACACAACAAACGCACCTGTACAAATCACGGTAACAAAACAGGTGGCCGTGTTTTGAGATTAGCCATTGTATTATTAAATATCACGGACGGTGCTCTTTCAAGGAAAGAGTGTGCATGGGCGTTAAAGATTAAATTGACTTTTTCTTCACTGCAAGTTAGGCGTTAATGATATTTTGTAATTTATATATTGCATGCGTCGTTTTCAGATAACTCGGATTGAAATGATTTCGCCATGTCATCCTTATATCAGAATGGAAATTTCGAGTTGTCTCCAATAATTATCTGTAGTGACACTCTTACGAGCGCCATTTGTAACGAACATCTGCTCAGCTCGTGTCGTTTCACGTTTTAAAGAACTTCGCTTGGCATTTTTTGCACAGCACGATGAACCAGGAGAATCGTTCAACTTCCTGGCAAACAGATCAGTAACCGCGATGATTCTCACCTCACGGGGTCCTGTGTGTGCCAACTTGTCTTATTTACCAACAACGGCGGTAGAAAATGTTCCCCGGGCCACTCTTTTACCCAGCGCTTGGATCTTTTTCTCTACTGCATTGAAGCTATTCGTTCATGTGCTATCCCACATTGGGCAAAACATTAACTTTCTTCCAATGTGAGCACAGATTAGTGAAACTTAAATACACGTACATGTACTTTGAGTGGTGTATCGAGCGCACCGAACCTCTTGGAGCCAGACGCATCGTTGTATGAAATTATATTCCTTCATGGTAAATGTTTAATGGTGGCTCTTTGAGTGGTTTAACAGATGACTTTTCGTCACAGTGTGGTGAGCTTTATACCACCTTGGGGTCGACATGCTATTCCGACACTTGGTGAAGTGATCTCTATATGGGTTTTTTTTGGGGGGGGGAGGGTGTTTTTTCACATTACACAGACATGAGTACTGTTCAACCCTTCAGAACTGCCGCGGGCGGCCTTTGTACTTTCTCCTTTTTTCCCACCAGATTGCAGTACAGTGGGAAACAAAACTCGAAGCTCAATTTTGGCCGCTAAGTCAGGGCGTGCTAGCGCACTGCCAAGTGTTTTTATCCAGTGCGGACTTTTATGACTGAGGTTACAATCATGGCTGAGAATTTATATCATGCAAGCGCAGTAAAGTCTCAGTGTTTGAAGTCCATCGCGATAGCAGGGTCGTCAAAAATCAGCGAACAGCAAACAGCTGATTAATTTAGCTGTTTAGAAAAGGCCGCAAGGCCTTTTGAGACCGTCACAACGGAGAGCATTTACGGGTAGCCTGAGGTCTTATCAACGGAGTGGTCTAATTAATTTCATTTCTGTTATCTCATTTCATATGGATTGTTCTTCTCAGAGCCAAAATTGCCGTTAATGACCGTGCACTCCGCCAGGTTATTAATTACCCGATAGCTTATCAGGTTTCTCTGAGTGAAACTGATATCGGTATAGGCCTAGTCGAATTGTTAGCTCGGATTAACCACAATCTCCGAGTCATCTTCTTAATCAATAAACTCTATTTAACTGCGCAAGCCTGTGTTGCCTACCATCTCCCGAGCACCAGAATGTCCACATTATTTTAAGTTTTAAATATTGCTCATTTTATACCGTTTCCACAGCACGACAAATTCGAATAGTGCCTTGTCTCGGTTAAAAAAGTTGACTCACTGAAGTAGAAGCTGAATGAAGTTCTGCAGTTGTGTTTCATCGCTTCACCTCCGTCGTTGTTTATCTTGTTAGCACGCTAAACCCAATATGGTACATCATTGTAATGAGTGATCCAGCCTCCAACAAATTCCATTCCAACTGCAACTGTCGATGCCAAGGATATTAATACACTTTACCTTGAGTGTGACCTTTCAGTGCGTAGACAGCGTGACATGGACCGGGGGGGGGGTTGGTTGTTAACGCACTCATGGGATAGTATCAGAAACAAGTACTGGCAGGCATCTTTATTATTGGATTTAATTGTAAGCATAGGTGCACAAAGGGTGTACGACTAGTCGCCCGTCATAACAGACACGTCGTTTTTTTATGGAAAACCGTTCACGGTCGCTTGAACTGAAGGCCGACTGTCTCATAACATAGCAGCGACACTGACACGATCCTCAGTTGTTAGTGGATATAGCGGCAGCCTGATGTCAGGGAAATGTTTGTACCAGCAAATTACAACGAATGGCATTATCATGCATGCATCACGGGTCGTAAGTCCATGAACCTAAGGAGTGCATTTTGCTGTTTATGCTGTTATATATCGGTCATACCGAGTATAGTTTCTTGCGAGTAATTATAGGAAGTACTAAATCAAATGCACATTTGCTGAATTCTGTTCAAATCTGATGAATAATCAACAAAAGACAGCTACATCTTGACAATATTGCTCCGCTGAATTAATAATTTGGGAAATTTGCGCACAGTAAACTTTGCTCTGCTTTTCGCGCAAAAGCGAATGTTTATCACATTTAACATATTGAAGTTTAATATAAATGCGAAAAAGCTTCAGAAACTGTATAACTACATGTTTACGAAGAACGATTCAAAAATATTTACTATGAATATAAGTATTCGACAACTCTTAACAGAAATGCATTATTTCTGTGTTTTATATATACAGAATTAAATATCATAATTTGCTCAAGATAATGAGGAAATTAGAAAAGAAGAGCGGCATTATAATAGAAATTCTTAATACAGTACGTGATGCATTTCTGCAGTACAAAAAGCGAAGTCAGGCGTTTCCATGGAAACGGCTTTGACGTAGTCAGAACTGCTGTAAGAG